GCATACTTTTCCTTTACTTTCTTTTTCTTTTTTTCTTGTCTGTGTTTTCTTTCACAGCATGACTAACATGGATATATGTTTTGCATGGCTGTACATGTATAACTTATACCAAATTGCTTGCCTTCTCATTAAGGGGAGGAGGAGAAGGATGAATGAATTGAATTTTGAACTCAAACATTTTTTAATGAATGTTAAAAATTGTTTTTACAAGCAATTGGGGGAAATGAAATAAAATATTAAAGAAAAAATGTATTAGACCAAATTTTTATGGAAAAATCCAAGGAAAAAAAATCACAGCAATTCATTTTGTCCAGCCCAAGTCAGAATAGAGAAGCAAGTAGTGTAGCCCATGGATAATGTGCAAGGAATCTGGACAGGAACACTCCAACAGTGGGAGAGGCTGTTCACCAGGGCAATTGAAAAGTCTTTGTACAGACCAAATCAATTCTGCTAGAATTAGGAGGAAACACATTTACAATGGGGAAAAAAAGAATATTTATATTAAGCTTCTGTAATAAGGGGCTATTATCCAAGATTTTTGGATAATTGATAGATACATGTAAGAATAAGAGCCATTTATTAATAGAAAAATGGTTAAAGTGCGTGAGTCTGAAGTTCTTAAAGAAATCTAAGCCATCAACAACCATGTTAAAATTGCTCTAAATCATTAAAAATAAGAGAAATGCTGATTGAAATAATTGAAATTCTACTTTACCCTCATACTTTGTACCAGGGCTGTTCAACTCACTGTTTGTAGACAAGATGGTGCCAATAAAAACTCCAGAGTGTGGTCTGAATGAGATTAATATATAAGTGGGAAAAAGTTTAACAATCCACAATTTGTTTCTTTTGTTTTATATCATTTTCTAAAAAAAGATCAAGGCAATTAAGGCCAGCCACCAAAGTATTAGATTTTCCCAGACATATGGAGCTTTTGAGACTTATAATTCTCATGAGGGATTATTTATATTCCTTCCTGTTATTTTCTTCCCCCCTGTATAACCGCTCTCCTCTGCAAACACTGTTTTGCATTGGTGGGAGAGTGTGATTCAAGTTTGTGAGTCTCCTGTTATATTTTCCTGTGGAGACAATAAATTCTGCCCTTGTAAGTCTCCCTTCTGTTTTGAGCCTCTCAGGAACAGTGCATTATGGTTCCATGTTTTCTTCACATTCTCCATTGTCCTTCTAATCAAGTGTTGGATTCTTTTTTTCTTTGGCAGTATTTATTCCTAGAATCCTGCACTTATTTATCACATGTGGAGGTCTTATTTCTTTTTTGCTGTTAATGGTTACCTGGGGTTTATTTACTTATCTTTGAGGTTTTTGAATTTTCTTCTTTCCTACTGCTTTGCTGTATAATTTCAGATCTGGTACTATCATGTCTCCTTCCTAACCACATTGTTTCTATTATTTCCCTTCAGATTCTTCACTATTTTTCTGTAACTGTTCAAGGATTTTGTTATAATTTGTCTAGTTCTATAAAGAAAACATAGTCATTTCAGAGTTTTTCCACTTATTTTTCCTATTGTTCATTTTGGACTCCTTGCCCTCTGGTTGTGGTTGCCTCAAGGATCGGATCTCCAAGAATCTTAGCCTTCTCCTGTGCCGGGCAAATTAGAGTTCAGTAGCCTAGCTTTCTTCCTGAAGTGACTTTTGGGTGGAGAAAAGTGACCTCAGCTTGATGCTGAGCTCTTTTCCTCTGTCTTAGAGTGTCATTAATCCTACCTTTTCCCTTCCATGCATAGTGACACATTTCAGCATCTTGTCTTGCTCCCGCTGTTCCCCAGTTCTTTGGTCCAGAACCAGCAGATAGAGAGCTATAGCACTGGTGCTATGGTTTTGATTTCTCTAATTTGGCTCCCCACTGAGGATGATGTGGGATGTGGGATGTGGTGCTGTCCTCTTTTTCAAACCCAGATAAGTATCTTGCTCCTTTCTCTCTGGCTCTTCTGCAGAGATCTATCAAAGGACAAAACGTTGCATCCCTAACAATTTCTTTTCCTGGAATTCTGGTATAGCACTTATTTGTAGCCCCAGCAATCCTTTGCTTCTGGAACACAGTCTGCAGTGGTCTGAGAAAACTGCCAAACTTGGGACCAGGATAACCACAGCATTGTGGAGAAGGATGGGCAACCAGGATGTGTGGATGGTTTTTGTCGCAAACTCTTGTGTCAAGGCTTTGGGTCAGGTCTGTGGCTTGGCTAAGTACAACCTTGCTTCCTGTAACATGGGAGGTAAGGAAGGGTGCTGAGTGAATGCAGGGCAGAAATCAATTCATGGTTTGTTTGGCTTTTTTAACCTTTTGAATTCCAAGTGTCCTAAATCATGGAGACAGATGAAGCTGCTTTATCCTTGGCTCATAATTTCTATTTAAGAGAAGTTTGGTGGAGAGTAGGGCTGTCAGAGAAAATGTCCAATCCTCTGTCTTGTTGATCATGTGATCCACACTATTATGTTTTGATTATTCCTGTTCTTTTCTTCTAGTGACTAAAGGTTATGTTTATTCCTGCTTTTGTTTAGGTCATTGAGGAAATGTTTCATGTTTGAGTCCATGGTGTCAGCAGCACTTTTCAAGAGAACACTGAATTGTAAACAAAGCGGGTGACTATCATTTAGAGAATGATTAAATAAATCAGGGTTCATGAAAGTAATGGAATTTTACTGTGTTGTAAGTGCTGCTTGAAAGAACTGTCTTTGCTTGTCATCTTTTAATTTCTGCAACACAATCTTTTGTGCCTCTCCCTCTAATTTAAAACATGTCTGGTTCTTATGAGTGTTATAATGCTGATGGGCATTGTATTTCTTTAATGTTGCTATTGCAGTATCACAAAGCAAGCAAATTATCTTATCTTTAGCAGAAATAAGATAATATTGCAATTCCCAATCCTCATTAAAAAAATCTGTTTTCTTCTCTCAGCTTTCTCGTGGTCTTCTTTGACATCATGGGCTGTTAAGCAGACAGCATTAAAAAATACCGTTGAGCTATGCAAACTATTCACAAACTCTACTTCAAGCAGAAACACAGTGCACCATTGTCAAAAGCTGATAATAGACTGGTGTGCTTGACTCCCATAAACTCTTGCCAACCAGCCTTGAGCAGCAGTGGTGCTAGTCATGTGGGTGAAGTTAGAACTAAATAATGAGTGTAGCAGCCACAAATTTACCCTTTTGGCTTACTAATGTTTTAATTGTGCCAGTCAATCTGGGAGGATTATTTTGTTGAAACTTATTTTATTCTTTGGTATTTTAAATTCATTTAAAAAATAAAGTAAAAATATAAAAGACAAAAATGTATTAATAAAAAGATTTGTTCTGTAAAATTTCAATTCAGTCAAAAGGTCACACTTAAGCATCTAGAAGGCCACATATGTGTGGCCTTAAGGCTGTTGGTTCCCAACCGCTCATTTAAACCCTAGCAAAAATATTTCAAAACTGAATCAACTATCTATCTTCTGATACAAAGGAAATGGATTTAAGGGCAGAATTCCATATATACATATACATATATATGTGCATATATATGTATATGCATGTGTACACACATGCAAATATAAGTATATGTGTGTATATATGTGCATGTGTGTGTGTGTGTATGTATGAAATATGCTGCCAGAAAGGGGCTTTTTTTGTAACTACCAGATTTGTAACAAGGAATTTGCTTTTCTTTTCCTTTTTTTCTTTTAAAAATAGTGTGGGCATGAGAATAGATTTATGCTAATTTTTTAATATAGAGAATGATGCTATAGATTGTGGGATGTCATGTGCACTTTCAGATGAGGTCATTATATTATTAGTTTTACTTAATTATTTTACTTCATTACAAGACAGCTATCATGGAGTGAGGTTAAACAATCAATAAACATTTATTAAGTTTCTACTGTGATACTTAGCAAGGGCCACCATATATTGCTGGGACTTCCTACCCACAAACATATGAGAGGTTATCCTGAGAAGCAATTGATAAAATGTTTGAGATTATGGTCCAAGATTCACCACAGGTATAGTCTAAGGCTAAACACAGGGACTGTGACATGAGGTAGAGCATGATGGGAATGAAGCTCTGGCTAAGAGTTTTTGCCGTTACTACGACAAGAAGAGAACACAATGTTCATCTTACCACTTCTGCAATCAAGGTTGAGAACCAAACACGGCTCCCACTGGCAGGGGCTTGAGCTTCTACCATATGATAGGTATAAGCTTATCTTCCTCTCCTGATTTCAGTACAGTTGTGTTTCTTTCTGTTGCTTATATTTTCACATGCTATATAATGTTACTGAAACTAGTGATGCTGTGGGCTCTCTAAGTTTGCCATGCAGAGCAGCCTGCACTCTGAGCATAAATGAAATATGCAAAAAATTATCTGTGTCATTGACTCAGTGAGTGGTGGGAGTGCCTAACTGGTGGACCCCTGGATGAGCTTATCACAACTTGTAGGCCTGACAATGTCAGAGGAATGAATAGCCTTGGCCACATGTGATCTTCACATGGCTGCCTCACTATCATTCACTCTAATTGTTTTATTTTATCTTATTTTTAATTTATGGAATAAAACAAGTATTTCCATAACAGTACAATAAAAAAGATGATTACATATGAAACTGCAAATCTACTATGTACAAGTTGCTATTCCTCTCAAATATATATAACAATTATGATGTAAATTTCTTTTTTTTTCTTCCTTCTTTCCACACCCCCACCCTAGAGATGGCTACCATTTGTCACAAATAGGCATATATATACATATATATGTATATATATGTATATACACACACATTATATATATATATATATGTATACACACACATTATATATATACATACACACACACACACACATATATATATACATATACATATTCTATACATACTTCTATTCATCAATTCTTTCTCTTGTATGCAGATAGAGTTTTTCTTCATATGTTCTTTATGATTAATTTGGGTATTTATAATAGACAAAATAACTTTTGTTCAAAGTTGTTCTTAAAACAATACTGGTGTTGCTGTATGTAATGTTTTCTGATTTCTGTTCATTTTTCTCTTTTTCCTATGGATAGAGTATGTGTTTGTGGTAAAGTGTTCCTTAGGCCTACCAAGAAAATCTCTTTTCTTCGAGCTTATTTTTTTTCTACTAGCTGACTGTCAAAGTTGAAGCACATCCATAGGGGCTCGTGAGCTGTAGTAGTAGGGAATGCAGACATGTGAGCTCTTTGGGCTGCTGAGGAAGCAGCCCAAAGTGTGGTTTCCATTCACACATAGTCGTATACTGTGACGGGAACAGAAGTTTGTTTGTGTGGGTCTGGTGGCCAACATTGCTGAATCCCCAAGAGCAGAAGCAACAGTGTGTTCCCAAAGTTTTTGAAACTGACCTTCTAATCAATGTTTTTTGTTTTTGTTTATTTATCCCTTCATTCATTTATCTATCTATCTATCTATCTATCTATCTATCTATCTATCTATCTATCTATCTGTTTATTCATTTATCTATTTTTTTGCTGCTCCCACTGGGACCGGGGATCTTATAGCATCTGCTGGATAGACCTGTTTCCCATGGTCTTGTAGTCTATTTCAAACTCCTCTGCTGCTCCGCATTGCTCCACGTTGATTCTTCCAAGCGCTGCTTGCTTAGATCCGACTCACTTTTATATTTTGCTGCCTCCAATCTGTGGCTCAGTTGCAGATCATGGCGGTCTCGGTCTAGGTAGGCAGCTGTGCCTGATCGTCCTTCCGTCTCTTCTGCGCTCTGTTCTCTGCCCTCTTCTTTTTTGACTCTTCATCGATCGGTGCGTCGTGAATGCTCCGACAGCCTGTCTGATGCAAGCCATGAAGGCTTCTCAGTCCCATTCCTTTAATTACATGAAATGAATTCCATACAATCCCAAAGGAAATAAATGATACTCAGGTGTAGTTACTGGAATACTAACAACTCGCCCCGATGAGTTCAGAGGCCTCACATTGGGTGACTACAAGAAAAAATAAGTAAGTGACTAAGAAGAAGACCAACCGTGGGCCTAGAGCCCGTCGGAAAAGGTTTGGTCAGGGATGAAACAGGCTCCTCCACACGGAGGACAGGGTGGGCTCACTCACCGATGGTTCCCTTGGTCTCTCCTTGGCCACTTCTGTATCTGAGGTGGAGGAAAGGGAACGTCATTCCCACAGCTCCCTGGACTCCAATCCACAATACCAACCCCCCGACCCAGTGTCATACCCTCTTCCTGCCCACATCACCTACACAGGGTCTCCTCTCGGGGGACTTCAGGCTGATGGGCAGGCAGGAACTCCAGGAAAGACAAGGGCAACAAAGACACCTGTGACAAGAAGAGAGGGAGTAAGTAGGACCAGGGGAGAGAGTCCACCCTGGGAGGCTCTGTGAGCCTCCTTTCCTCACCATGGACTCTGTCCAGTGCAGAGTATCCTGGGTTACATGGCAAGGAACAGGGGACTATGGGAAGAGAAGCTGAGTATCATCACCTCCTTAGGCTCTCTCCTTGTAAAGACCCTGGTGAAAGAGATATAAGAAGGGAAGAAGCCAGGTCAGGGAGATCTTGAAGGAGGAAATAGAAGTCCCAGTCCTTACCCATCTCTATTACTAAGAGTGTATTATACTAAGGCTTACAACCCTGTTTCAACCATAGGGATGGATCCCTGGCAGAGTATTGCCAGCAAGACAAGGTGGAGGAGGAGGAGGAGGAGGAGGAGGAGGAGGAGGAGGAGGAGGAGGAGGAGGAGCATAGCTGAGGGTGATAATGAGGGTGTTACTGGTCTCAGAACCTGGAATGATGGAGAGAGAAGAATCTTCATAAATCACTATCTTTAGGGGACTCTCACCTTGCCCTTGAAAGTGTCCCTGTATTTTCTTCTCTTATCTCCCTCCAGAGATGCCCATCACCACCGGCATCCAACAGTTTGGCACACATGCTGCTCAGAGTGGGCTTATCCTTTGGAACTAGGTTGAGAAACCCAGAGAGCTGGATCAAGATATGTGGGTCACAGGTAAGTATGAGGGAAGCTTCATTTCACAACTTGACACCCTTGGTCTCTATGGGCCTGGAATTGGGGAAAATATCAAAGTCTCTGTTGTCTCTTATCCTATGTCTCTTGGCTAGAGCTAAGGCCTTGGTTTCATTTCCTTGTAGAGGCAGAAGGTGGAAGTGGTCCTTGGCTCCCTCCAGTGGGTCCTCCAGCGGGCTTCTTCCTCTCACCTGTCACTGTGAGCTGCAGGGGGTCACTGTGTTGTGTCCAGAGACTTCCAATGGTGAGAAGCTGGTGGCTGCAGCTGTAATTGCCAGAGTGCCTGGGGGGTCACATGAGTCAGAAAGAACTTGGCCCCATCTCCAGTGGTATCAGTGCTGGGCAGCATTTTCTTATCTCCAACCTTGTCCAGAACAAAGCTACCACTCCATGAGGGCCCCCAGCAAGGGAGGGTCATGTTCGCCCCTGACACCACCTTTGAGCAAGTCGGGCTGAGAGGGAAGGCTTGGGGAGTGCATCTGGAAAACCAAGCAGAGGCCAGAGACCCTCAAGGGGCCTGCACTGTTGTAATGGAGGTGGAGGGTGGGGGAGGGAAATGAGATCTGGGAAGTCCCTGAAAAACTCCCTGACCATCAGATCTCACTTCCTTTGGCTCTTTGGTCATTCCTTGCCCAACATCTCCTTCCCTGGAGAGGCATGGATGTTAAACTTGAGATGTTCTCTAGGCCCACCTAGAAACAGAGATGCATTTCTTCCTTCCATCTTGTCCCTTGAGCTTGGAGCAGTACCTGAGCTGGTCCATCCTTTCACCTTTGTTCTCCCCTTCCTTAGGTACCCACAAATCTTGTCCCAACCTCTACCTCATGATGTCAAAAGAGCCCAGAACAATATGCCTTTTCCTGGCCTGCCTCTCAGGTAGAGTCTCAAACCTTGACCTTATGCCTTGTATATCTGGACACACTCTTACCTGTCACCCACATCCCCAGGACCTTGCTGGGCTCAGACACCTGGTATGGAGTCATCCTCCTGTGGTAGACACAGCTGTAGTTGCCAATATCCTGGGCCCTCACAGAGAGGATGGGAAAGTCAGCTGAGGCCCCAGCTTGGCCCTGGCTCTTCAAGGCCTGAAGGGTCCCCACCTTCAGCAGTATGAATGTCACATCACTGAGGAATGTCTGAGGGCACTGTCGGCACTGAAGTGTCACATGCATCCCGGGCTCTACCAAAAGGTCAGGGAGGGCTGAGAGGGAAGGCTTGGGCAGAGATCCTGTGAGAGGGAGAACATGGGCTGGGGGCAGGACAGCTGGGTCAAGTCCCTGCTCTGGCCCTGAGTCCCTGTGTAACCTTGGCCCAGTTGCTTGTCCCGTCTGAGTCTCAGTTTAGTTGTTCAGTTGCTTTTCAGTTGTGTCCAACTCTTCATCACTCCATTTGTGTTTTTCTTGGCAAAGATACCAGAGTGATTTTCCATTTCCTTTCTCACCTCATTTTACAGATGAGGAAACTGAGGCAAACAGGGTGAAATGACTTGCTTAGGACACACAGCTAATAAATGTCTGAGACCAGATTTGAACTCAGGAAGATGAGTCTTCCTAACACCAAGCCCGGCTTTCTATCCTCTGAGCCACCTAGCTGTCCATGAGCCTCAGTTATCTCATCTGTAAAAAGCCCCATGGACTTCATGTCATGGAATAGGCAGCCAACGTCCACAGAAGGTTGGGAACTGGGCCACTATTACCTACGGGGGACAGATGTTCAAATCTCCTGCTGAAAGCCCCTCATCTCAGGCTTGCTCCCCCTTCAGCATGCTGCCTTCCAATACAGGCCAGATGGACAGTGGCTTGGGGTGGTGGGAAGAACCCTGATGCTAGAATGGGAGCATGAGAGAGGCTGGGAAGGCCAAGAGCCAGGACATTGCTACTGGATGCATTTCTAGTTGCAGCTAGCTATAAATTTAAGGGATTTTCACATTTCAGGGAGATGACCCACACTATGGTCTCATGCATGTGATGACTCATGGGAAGGAAGGTCATGACCCTTCACTGTTCCTCTGGGCTATCACAGACAGGCCCAGGGATCAGCCCAAAACATGGGCTCAGGTCATGGTCCACAAAGGAGAAGGCTCAGGTTAATTTCTAGGCTCAGTCACTCACTTGTGTGACCTTGGACAAGTCCTTTCTTTCTGGGCCTCACTTTGCTCATTGGTAATAGGAAGGTTTGACCTCAAGAAACTCCAAAGCCTCTTTCAGCTCTGGGTCTCTGTGATTCTTCTCCTAGCCCCCAACTGAGTCATCACCATCACCTTTCTTCCCCAGATTCTAGATCAGAATAGAAATGCCTCATCTTCCAAAGCCCCTGAATTCTCCCAGGCCACAGGGCAGAGCTGACTGTGTAGACACCAGGCCTTGTCTCTGTGAGGCACCTGTCTGGGCAGACAGCAGAGGTGTCATACTCAGAGCTATTCAGGGACCCCCCAACCCCCGCCTAGTAACACCAGCTCCAGGGCCTCCCTGGGCTCTGATCCTCTAGCAGACACTGTCCTTTCCCTGTAAGAACAGCTGTAGCTCCCGGTGTCCTCAGGTCTCACAGATGCGAGCAGGAAGCTAGTCCAGAGATCTGCTGAGGTCTGCTGCTCTAAGGGTGTCTGGGTCCCAGCCTTATACAGAGTAAAAGTCGCATCTTCAAGGGAAGATAGCTTGGGTCTTGAGCACCAGAGAGTGATGTTGGCCCCTGGGGCCACCATGAGGCCAGGTTGGGCCCACAGAATGGGCCCGGGGAGTTGTCCTGGAGGGAAGGAGAGACACCAAATGTCGGGGTTACATGACGCTTCAAGGACCCCCTCCTCTAATTACTTTGTGAGACAGGCAACAGCAGTTTAAGTTCTGTTCTCACTTTCTCATCTGGGGTGTGCCTTGAGCTGGGAACACCCCCACTATCCTGGGCCCCAAAGCTAAGTCCAATGTAGAACAGGAGAGTGTCCCAGGGTCTCCTCCAACCTCCCCCCAAGACATCCATTTGGAATTCCCAGGATTTTGTGCTGTCCTTATGGCTCTGTGGGGCCCTATGTGGGGGCTGGATTTGGGGACTTGGGGGGTTTCCAAGCACAATCAGCTCCAGGCTCTCACTGGGTTGGGACCCCCTGTTGTGGGCTGTCTCCTTGTAGGAAATGCAACTGTAGCTCCCAGTGTCCTCGGGCCTCACAGACAGAAGTGAGAAAACAGCCTGGGTCCCTGCAGGGCTCCGTTGCTGGGAGGGCCCCGGGCTCCTTGCCTTCAGTAGGGAAAAGCCATAGTCCTGAGATCTTGCCTGTGGTGACTTTTGGCACCAGATGGTCACTGTTGTTCCAGGTGAGACTGAAATGGAAGGTTTGGGGAAGGCTCCTGTGAAAGGAGGAGGGAAGAAAGTTAGTGACCTGATGTTTCACCCTAATCCCCTCAAATCATTCTCTGAAACAGAGCTGAGAAGGGCAGGGTGGCTGAGGGGCCCTAGATAGGCCCCTTTGCCCTGTCCTGTTGGCTTGCTCATGGATAACCATCCATGGCTATGGGCTCCTGGGTCACCCTCAGAAATATGTTCTGTGCCCAGGAAGGCTCTGACAGCAGAGAGTGATGAGAGGAGAAGGGACATAGGCAGAGGGGGTCAACCTCTTCCACCTGCCCCTCTTCTCACCTCCCCCAAGGGGCCCAGCTCTGTCTCTACAGCCTGGGCCTGCTGGACCAAGGCAGGATTCTCATGCACCATCACTGGCAAATTCTGTTAAGCTTTGAGGTTTGTAAAGTTCTGTCCTCCAAACAACCTCATGACTGGTGGGCTAAACAGAAACCAGATGGCCAGTCTTTGCCCTTACCCACTTCCCCACACTTCTGCCTGGTGCCAGGTCCCAGTCCTGCCACTGCCTGCCCACCTCTTGGTGAAGCCAGAGCAGAGCTGGCAGAGCTGCGTGTCCAGGGATGGGCAGCAGCTAGCAGAGGAGGATGGGGGCTCCTCCTGGGAAGTTCTGTGCAGAATTTGCTCTGGTCCAGTTCTCCTGCTGTCATTGATCACTCATGTATCAGGCACCTCCTGCTCAGTTATGGGGGAAGCCCCAAAGGTTTAAATGAAGGCATCCCCCTGCTGCCCTCAGGAGCTCACAGTCCCTGGGATCACAGGGTGTAAGCTCAAATGATATTTTTGGATAATCCAGCCCATGAGCTTTGTGTCATGGAAGAGGGAACGGAGGTCCGCAGAAAGTTGGGAACTAGCCCACCATTACCTGTGGGGGACAGATGTTTGAATCCCCTGCTGCAAGCTCTGACCTCAGGCTCCTTCCCTGTCAGCAGGCTGCCTTCTAATACAGGCCAGATGGACGGCGGCCTGGGGTGGTGGGAAAGATCCTGATGCTAGAGGAGGCACATTAAAGATGTGTAAGCACCATGCTGGGAAGGCCAAGGGCCAGGACAGTGCCAATTGATGCAGTTAGAGACTGCATCCTGGAGCAGCCAGGATCTGAGCTGGGCTTCAAGGATGTGCAGGAATGTGATTAATGAAGGTGGGGAAGGCTTCCCAGGCAGGGGGAACTGTGTGAGCAAAGGCAAATGGTGGGACATGAGGGCGATGATGTTGTCATCTGTCCAGGCTGATGGGAATGTAGGGAGGGCAGAAGGGAACAAGGGGAGACACAACTGGATAGGGTGGATGTGGCCAGGTTGGGAGGAAAGGAAAAGTTAGAGGAGGCAGGAAAAGTTTATCTAAATCAAGTTTGCTCTGATAAAGCTGTGTGCCCCTTCTCCCAACGGCTGCTGTGCGTCCTCTGAGAGAGGAGGAGCCCAGCTGTCCTGTCACCTGTCACCAGGTGACACTGACCACATAGAAAGATCCCTGGGTTTGGGGATAGGAGACATGGGTTCAAATTCTGGCCCTGACCCTGAAGAACCCTGCTGCTGGGTGGCAATGGAAACAGCATCTCTCTGCTCCTAGGCCCCAGGGGTGGGGTATCTCTGTTGGCCAGCCTCAGGTCAGGACCTCACTGCTGGTCAGGCCTGGCTGGTGGCTTGTGCTAGGGATGGGTGGCTAGGGTGGGGCCTTGCTAAGCTGCATACTGCTCACTTGCCTAGGGGTCTGCGGGTCTGCAGGAGGGTGGGGACTCACTGGTGAATTGCCCCAGGCTGGAGCCTTGCTGTAGGCCCCCTGTTGTGAGGCTGGCTGCTGCTGCTCTTGGACCTTACTCCCCTCCCAACCCAATGATACAGACCTTTCCTGCCATGCAGGTAAGCTGTTTCCCTACATCAATTCTGAGGCAAGTTTTTAGTTGTTTGGAGGGGAGTTTGGGAGGGCTGCAGAGGATTCCTTCTTTACTCCACCATCTTGGCACTGGAAGTCCCCAGGGAAGATTTTATCTTGAAGATGGTGTGTGAGCAGGGTCTTCAGTGAATGGAGGGACCCTGTGAATCAAAGATCAGGGGGGAGGGCATTACAGATATGATAGATGGTCCAAACAAAGATATATCCCTATATAGATACAGATGTGTGTGTATACTTACACTCACATATAACAGTATAGTGAAAATAGTACCTTTGGGTTTCCTCTAATGATCTGGTGGTTTTAGTGAATGGAAAGCTTGACATGGAAACAATGTGGTGAGGTGACAACCCCAACCCCAACCGCTGCAGATATCATCACCTGCATTTTGAGAAGTGGTGTGGAGAATGCATGTTGTGATAGCGCTACTGTATCATGCCTACGTCAGACCACATCCAGAGTACTGTGGTGAGTGTGAGTGTGATCCGGTAGGAAGAATGTGGATAACCTGGAGAAAATCCTGTGTAGGGGGATCTACTGAGAGAAGGGATCTCAGTGGTGATCTGCTCCAATCCACTCTTTTTACAGATGAGGAAACAGGAGCCCAGGAAATTTTAGTGACTTACTAAATGCTGGAAAATGGAAGACCATTCGATATGAGGACAGGTTAAAGGAACTGAGAGAGGTTTAACTTGGTTAAGAAGAGACTGAGTTACAGCATTGATATCTATTTTTAAAATAGCTTTTTATTAGTATCTTTGAATTTTTACTTCCTCAGCATTTCTTCCAGTACACCATTGGCACTTCTCCTTCACAGAGCATCTTCCCATAAAATTAATATTTTCAAGGGAAAAATAGAAGAAGAAGAGGAAAAGTGGCAAATCAAGTCAGTACATAATAGAAGTCTAAAACTATGTGCAATGTATGAAACTCACGGAGTTCCCCTTGGCTGAGGCTTGGGATAACCGTGTCTTCTCATCTTTTACCTTTGGTTTTTGTTTTTGACTGGAGAAGTTGGGCCAAGGAAGGAGACTGTCAGGATAAAACTCATTGAGGAAGTTTAATGTTTTGGTAATTAGTAGAGACAAAAATTAGGGTTGGGTTGAGAAAATATTCTGAGTATTGTGAATCTCAGATGAGGAAGAGAAGAATCTAGGAGTGAAAAAGAGCTAGGGACAGCTAGGTGGCGCAGTGGATAGAGCACTGGCCTTGGAGTCAGGAAGATCTGAGTTCAAATCTGGCCTCAGACACTTGACATTTACTAGCTGTGTGACCCTGGCCAAGTCACTTAATCCATTGCTTAGCTTTAAGAAAGAGAGAGAGAGAGAGAGTGAAAAATATTCCAATTCTCTAAATGTTACCAGAAAATTTGGGGTTTATAACCAATGCAGAGCTATGATTTGGGGGGGGGTAGGATTCTAATGCTATTACTCATGAGTCCCCATGAGTGTGTCCCCATACTATCAGATGATATTAAATAGTCAGGTAAATGTAATTAGCTTTCTGAAAAGTGTGTTTATTTAGGTGAAAGAGTAAGAATATTTGGCACAAAACATCACTACACCCCCAAATGTCTTTGACAAACCATCTCATCAATATACACAGAGTCCAATGGAAAATGGGCTCAAGATTAGGGAGCCCATATATAAAAAAGTGTAATATAGTTTCCAGTTACCAGAAGTACTTTTTTTTTTTTATTTGAGGAGTACTTATATAGGTCCCTTTAGGTACTACATAGCTTTTCTTCCTAGATCCTTGAAGAATCCTGAGGAAGCTATCCTTCCTCAGTTTGTCTCAGGAGTCCTGGAGTATTAACGATCACTGTCACCTATCACTAATATTCTAGGGACACTGATAGGAAACAAATGAAAATGTCCAAATCTGTATTATGGGTTCATGTAGCCAAGATTATGAGAAAGAAAAAACTAATTTAAATCATGAAGAGAATGAGATGACTTTATTCTATTTCCTGGGGTCCTGTTTCCTCATCTATAACATGAGTGGATTGGAGCAGATCACCACTGAGATCCCTTCTCTCAGTAGATCCCCCTGCACAGGATTTTCTCCAGGTTATCCACATTCTTCCTACCGGATCACACTCACACTCACCACAGTACTCTGGATGTGGTCTGACGTAGGCATGATACAGTAGCGCTATCACAACATGCATTCTCCACACCACTTCTCAAAATGCAGGTGATGATATCTGCAGCGGTTGGAGTTGGGGTTGTTGCCTCACCGCATTGTTTCCATGTCAAGCTTTCCATTCACTAAAACCACCAGATCATTAGAGGAAACCCAAAGGTGCTATTTTCACTATACTGTTATATGTGAGTGTAAGTATACACACACATCTGTATCTATATAGGGATGTATCTTTGTTTGGACCATCTATCATATCTGTAATACCCTGCCCCCTGGCCTTTGCAAAAATGTACAGAAAATGAGATTTTAAGTAATGAAAAAAAAGTTGGAAGTCAATAGAAGAATGAGTTACATCTCAATTATTTAGCTGAGGGGAAGAGAGAGGGGAAAAATTAAATAATTAGACAAAAGCAAGGAAGAAAAGGGAAATAATAAGGAAAACTCTAAAACCAGAGAAGAAATGACAATTTGTTCATGGTAGTGGGTTCATGTTGAGGCTGACGGGAATGGAACTGTTAAAAGGTAGATTACGTTCAAATGGATTAAGGTGAAATAACTGAAGATACCTAATCCTGTATTTTTAAAAAGAGGTTAAATTTCCATTTGGAGAAAATATTAAAGATAAAGAGTAAAATAAAAACCTAAATGTCAGAATTTTAAATGAAAAGGTAGTAATATTTTAAGGAAATGAAGAATGAGAGATTGGATCTGTAAACACATACCCACAATTTGTTACTTAGAAGAAAAACATTTATTAAAAAATGTAAACAGAAGAAAAATTAGGGGATGAAAAAATTACTATCCATTAAGTGAATCTAAAAAAGCAGGAGTTGCTAACACGCCATAAGAAATATCAGGAACAAGCATTTAAAACATAAAAAGGGACAAACAAGGCAACTACATTACACTGAAAAAACTTATAGACATCAAGCCCATATCAATATTAAAATTATATTTTCTGAAGAAATTAGCATCTAAATTCATAAAAGAACTACTAATTGAGCTATAAGCATCTCTAGGTGATAACAAAATAACAACAGGGAATTTCACTGTCTCTCAGTTTTGGACGTGTTGAAAGGAAAGTCAAACAAAAAGGAAAATATAGAACTGAAAAGACTGCTGGAGAAACTACAGCTAAAACACTTATGATGTCTTCTAAATGAGACTGCTAATAAATATGCATAACATACAAAAATGATTATGTGTTAATCCCCAGATACATTGGAAATGCTTGCAAAATGTAGAAGTAGAAAATGCATTCTTTATAGACCATAATAGTATAAAATATAAATTGGTTCAGGAATCACAAACAAAAGGCACAGACTCAAATATAGACTTAACAATGTAATCCTAAATAATGAGGGGCAAAAGAACAAATCAGAGAAGCAATAATTATACAAAAGAAGATGATGAAAAAACCATACCATATTTACTGGGATACAGCTAAAGCAGTGTGTATGGGAAAAAGCATATGTCTTCAAATTGCTCTACAGAATGTTTGAATCAGTTCACAATTCCACCAATAGTGCATTAATGTCTCATTTTTTCCCACATCCTCTATGTTTATCATTTACCTTTTCTGTCCTATTAGCCAATCTAATAAGTATGAGGTAGTATCTCAGAATTGTTTTCATTTTCATTTCTCCTATCAATAGTGAGTTAGAGTATTTTTTTTCCAAATCATTATAGATGGCTTTGATTACTTCATCTGAAAAGTGACTAGAACAAGATGGATTTACAATTGAAATCTGTCACACATTTAAAGAACAACTAATTCTAATATTAAATAAATTATTGTTTGTGTGACTTGTTCTTTAACCCACCCATTCCTTAAGATTAGGTTGTTTAATTTCCAATTAGTTTTTGATCTATGTTTCCTTGGCCCCTTGTTAGATATTATTTTTATTGCATGATTTGAAAAGGATGTTTTTAATATTTCTGCTTTTCTGCTTTTAACTATAAAGTTTTTATGTACTCATATATGATAAATCTTTGTAAAGGTACCATGATCTGCTGAGAAAAAGGTGTATTCCTTTCAATTTCCATTCAATTCTCTCCAAATATCTATCATATGTACCTTATCTACAATTCTGTTAAATTTCTTAACTTCTTTCTTATTTATTTATTTTTTTGGTTAGGTTTATTAAGTTCTGAGAAGGAAAGATTAAAGTCCTCTACTATCATAGTACTACTATCTATCTCCATTTTAAATTCATTTAACTTTTCTTTTAAAAACTTAGATGCTATAGTATCTGGTGCATATAGGCTAAATATTGATATTGCTTCATTGTCTACAGCACCTTTTATCAAAACACAGTTATTCTCTTTATCTTTTTTAATTAACCCTATTTTAGGCATAACATTATATGAGATCAATAATCATTATCCCTATCCTTTGTTGTATCAGATAAAACATAATAAAGTCTACTACAACAATATTTTGTATTGTTATTCTGCTACCTATTTCTGTTTTATGGGTGAGTTCTTCCCATTCCTATTCAAAATTATAATGACTATTTGTGAATTTCCCTCCTCTTATTTTTACTCACTCTTTTCCTTCTCAGCCTCTCTTTTCACCCTTTCCCTGTTCCCTTATCTTTTCCCCTTACCTACTTATTGCTTATTTTACCCATCCCTCTACAAGTCCCTCTTTTATCTTCTCCTCACACCCTCCTCGTCTTAGCCTATATACCCTTCTAAAAGTCCCTAACCCATTGTATCTCCCAGTTTTCTCACATCTCTAGAAGTTCAGAAAACTTCTAAATCTCTTCAGATGTGCACATTTTTTCCTTTTCAACCCAGATGAGAGTATCATTCCATTATCAGCCCTCCACCCCTACCTGCTTCCTCTGTAGTAGTTCTTTCTTTTGTGCCTGTTTTTATGAGATAATTTCTCCTTTTTACCTTTTCTTACCCAATTTTGTTTTTTAAAATCACTGCATCATACACAACTCAGCTCCAACCTTTCTTTCAAACTAGCTTAATAATGCTAACAGTTTTAAGAATACTGATAACATTTTCACATATTATAAGTAAACAGTTTGACTTTTATCAGTACCTTGTACTTAGCCTTTAATGATTTCCTTATATTTCTTCTGGATCTTTTGTATCTAAATTTTCCATTGAGTCCTGGTCTTTTTGTTACAAATATCTGAAAGTCTTCAATTTGTCAAATGTCCATTTTTTTTCTCATTCAGGATCACAGCCAACTTTGTTGCATAAATTGTTTTTGGATAAAACCCCAGCTCCTTTGCTCTGCAAAATATAGTGTTCCAAGGCCTACAGTTTTTTGTGTACAACCTGTTAGGTCTTTTGAAATCTTGACTGTATCTTTACAATATTTAAATTGGTTTTTTCCCCTTGTTGCTTGCATTATTTTCTTTTTAACTTGGGAATTTTGCAACTTGGATGTTACATTCCTAGAAGTTTTCCTCTTTGGATCTCTTTCAGGTGGTAAATGGTAGATTCCCCCCCCCCTCCATTTTTATTTTATCTTCTTGTTCTTGAACTTCAAGGCAATTTTCCTTAATAATTTCTTGTAATATTGTATCCAGATCATTTTTTTTAAATAAGTTTCAGGTAGCCTGGCAATTCTTATATTGTCTCTCTTCAATATGCTCTCCAGATCAATTGTTTCTTTTTTCTTTTTTTTTTTTGTAGGCAATTGAGGTTAAGTGACTTGCCCAGGGTCACACAGCTAGTAAGTGTCAAGCATTTGGTCTGAGGCCAGATTTGAACTCAGGTCCTCCTGACTTCAGGGCCTCTGTCTACTGTGCCACCTAGCTGCCCCTCAATTGCTTTTCTAATGAGATGTTTCAGATTCTCTTCTATTTTTTTTTCTAGCTTTATTATTTCCTGGTGTCTTATAATGTCATTTGATTCCACTTGCCCATTTCCAGTTTTTAAGGAGTTATTTTCTTACTTAAGATTTTGTATATTTTCCCCAACTGGTTAACTTTCTTTCCATAATTTTCTTAGATTAGTTTTATTTTATTTCTGAACTCCTTTTAAAGTTCTTGCAATAGTTCTTCTTGGGCTTGTGACCATTTAATGTTACTCTTTGGTGTAGACATGATTATTTTTTTTTTACCTCACTATCTTCCTCTGAATGTGAACCCAAATCTTCTTTAGCATTGAAGCTGCTATCTGTGGTCATGTCGTTTTCCTTTACATTTTTATTTATATTTTGTTTTAGTTTTTAGCACCTAAATACCATCATTATTATAATCAAGTTTTAATTTCTAGCTGTGTATAGTGTTGTCCAAGGCTTCAGATCCTCCTTACTGTTATTTCCTGAGTTCTGTCCAAGGGCTTAACCTCTGGGACTCCCCTCCTCCCACGAGGCACAATTAGGGCTTCAACCACACTATCCTGAAAATGTTTTTGCTCTCTGTGGTATCACACTCACCAGGCATGTGCTCACTCCACCTTGCCCACAGTCAGAGCCTAGGATCACTATCTGGTCAGCACTGCTATTATTTCTAAATAATAACAAAGTGCAAGAGGCAATAATAGAAAATGAAGTGTTATTCCAAATAACTATAAAATGAATAAAATAACTGAGGATGACCTACCAAAACATGGAAAAGACTTGTATAGATTAAATTACAAATTAAAATAATAAAAAATAGAAATAATTAAAATTAACTAAAAATAATTAAAACATCTAAAATCAATTAAAATAATAAAGAACATCTTAAATAGAGGAATATTCAGTAGTTATAGCTATAAAATAAATATATGCCAATAATAAAAAATGGCACTACTTACAATATTAGTAGATACTTTTTATGATAGACCAATCAAATTATCAAAGAGATACTTTAGAGAACTTGACAAATAACAAAATTATTTTGGAAAAACTAAAGGTCAAAATTTCTAGAGAAATGATAAAAAATGAAAGGGAAGAAAGAAGAATAGCACGTCCCAAAGTGAAACTATATTATAAAACAGCAATGATCATAACAATGTAGTATAGCTTAAAGAAAAAAAAGATGAACAGATCAATAAAAGATGAGAAAAGGATGAATCAGAAATGATGAAAAAGATTTGTGAAGACACGCACCCACCCTTCAGATAGTTGTGAAGATGCTTCTACTCCCCTTCAAGGAAGTGTCTACTTGTTGCACATTGTATGTATCTGTAGACTTTTTCAACATATTGATCATCAATGCTGATGTGCTCTTTTCCTTATTCAATTTTCATATTAGAATACACTTTGCTAAATGTTTGACTTTCTGGGAGAGAAATGAGGAGAAATATTGGGGGAAATTGTTGATGTGAAAAATAGATCTTTAAGAAGTTGTTTTAAAAAACAATTAAACTTTTAAAAATATTATTTGATAAAACATTACAAAAAAAAGACAATAATCTAAGAGGAACTGGCTAATTAGGGAGAGAGATCACAGGGATAGAGAGTACTTTCTATGTGAGAAGTCCAGGGTTAAGTGATCTTCCTGGGTTAAGATGTGTCTGTGCACTTCTAGAAAAGCTGTAGGGATGTGGTAGGTGAAATCTGAAATAATTAAGGGAACAAGATTTGAGCTTCTAAGCATATTAAATTATTAAGCAATGTTAATTGCGTAATAAGTTGAGACTAAGCCTTCTCAACTTGTCACTGAACCCTGAATACAGGAAGAGGCAGATTTTACGCATTAAAAGAAAACAGTTACTAGGATATAAACCAGAATGTAAGACCAGATTATCTGATTTCTGAAGTGGAGGAAAGATTAGGGGCTTTCCCAGTACTGGTTACCTTCCTACAAGTGTCTTTCTTCAATGAAAGAAGAAGGAAACAGTAATTGATTGACCAGTATAGGGTCAGTTTTCAACATGTGTATTGCTTGAGATTTATAATTGTGAGAAAATTCCTTGTATCCATCTTCATACATGACTGGGTTTCTAGTCAGCACAATTTAGGAATTTTTTTTGAATAAGGTTCTCTAAGCAACAGGTAGAGGTGGTCCAGCCACACTGTGCAAGGCTCAAACAATTCAATAAAGTTTTCTCACAAATCTCATATTTCAATAGGATTTTCTCACTAGAGGACTAGAACCATAAATAAATAGAAGGGGAAGTGAGCTAGATCTCGAATTGAGGCAATGTGGTTCACTCAATTCCACAATCCACCCCCCCCCACTTTGATTCTCAGGATAATGGGGCTGGTCCTCTCCTTCATGAATCACTTCTCTACAAACTAAATCTATAAGGTTTTTGACATATTTGTAAGCGGAATTATGTTAAGTGATGTTACAGATCAAACTACTTAGAGGGCTCACAATGGACTAATTTTGCACAGGGAGATTTACAAGTCACTAAAGTAGCCAAGAAAACTCAGTAAACTTAAACACATGAAACAAAAGGCTAGAGCAATACAATGATCATCAGATCAAAATGTCAAGTCTTCTTATATCCTAGTAATCCACTTCCAATGTCCATTTAATCAGCACATTTTGTCTTGAGTGTCAGATGTCCCATGTAGTAATCTAGTCCATGGAAATATCTTCTCTTGGTCATTCTGGAGTAGGCCTCATTCTCAGGACAGCTCTGAAGGGGGCTCTGTTTCTTTGGTTCCAAAGAACTTGTAGAGATCCCTAGGTAATTTTGCTAAAATCTTCCAGTAACAAGACAATACAATTTCATACAATTTCTTTTATTTTGTTTTTCAATAACTAAGTCATTTGATAAGAACTAGCTCAAGCCTTATGGGTTTGATCCTATTAGCAACAGAGCTATAAGAACATCAAATTAGGAACCCATAGTTTACCCAAGACTTCAAAGAATTTCAGTTTTTATATATGAGTGGCTAAACCTAAATACTTTATATAAGAATCTTGAAAAAGTCATGAGGGTCTCCACTTGTAAAAAAAAATCTTTCTGTCATTTAAACATATCAGGCAGATACTTTAGAATGGGAAAATAACTTCACTTTTTTTTTTTTTACAATTATCAGTGCAAATTTATAGGTACAATGTTTAATCCAGTTTTGAGAACTCCTTACAAAAACATATACAAAGGCTGAATTTCTCTGTCAAATACATTTAGAAGCTAATCATATATGTATGTACATAGTTCTTAGAGAAAACAGTTTAATCCTATTCATTTCTCAAAGTTCACTATCCCATTTAATTGGAAACTTTTCATTAAGTCTTTGTCTTATAACTTTGTCTAATTTCCCCTTTTAGGAGGATACCATCCCTATATTATAATTTGATGACAAATACAGATTAAAACCACAATTGAAAATTTAAAAATAAATATTATTTGATTAAAATATAAAAAGGAAATATAAAAAAGGGATCAGCTATTTGGAGAGAGACAGAGAGAGAAAGAAAGCGAGAGAGAGAGAGAGAGAGAGAGAGAATACTTCTTACGTGAGAAGCCCAGGGTTGAGTGATCTTCTTGGAGTAAGAGGTGTCTGTTACCTTGTAGATAAAATCTAGGGAGGAAGGAGATGATTCAGATTTATAAAAAAAGTGATTTCCACAGTAAATAAGTGGACAAATGACATGAACATACAGTTTTTTTAAAAAAATTCAAGCTATTGACAGAAATATGAAAAATTGCTCATAATTCCAAATAATTAGAGAAATGCCAATTAAAACAACTTTAAGCCCTACCTCACCACCCATCAGAACATTAAAGAAGATAGGGTCATTGAGTCATATTAAACAAAAAACTTAACACAGGGAGAAGAACAGAAGGAAATCACAAATGAGCACAATCAGGAAAGTTTCACCACTGAAAGTAAACAGTGCAGTTTCATTCTATCTTTTCTGGTTCCACAATGTCTCTGAATGTGTCCTTTCTATTTGGCGTTCATTAAGTTCAATTTTTTTGAATTGAAAAAAAAAAGGACCAGACATTTCTGGTTCTTGTTCACATCTAGCTCCTACCTTTAACTGGTTGGCTAACTCAGTGGAAGTCTTCATATCTCACCGAGGCAGTTACTTTGAAGTGAGGTGGAGTCATTGACTAATTCAAGGGAAATGAACCATTGCTGGTCTTTACAACACACCTGCTTGAAACATAATAGAATCACACGAAGTTAAAATGATCAGCTGGAGCAGAATGTAGTGTTTCAAGCAAAATTTTTAAAGATCGAAGTAACTACAATATCAGGGAAGGCAATAATATAAGTGTACATGATTATAAGAGATAAGGAGGGTTTGATATATGTGCACTAAATAGCATGATATCTAAGTCCTAAAGGAAAAGTAAAATGAATTACAGGGAGAATTAGACATAAAACCTCCAGTATTTGGGAACTTACTGTGCCATTTTCAGAAATATATGAATATAACAAAAATACAAAGAATAGAAAAAAAATTAAGGGCATATATAGGATTTCAGCTAAGAGATATGATAGATCTCTGATGAATATGAGTATGAATAGAAAGAGTATACTTAATGGTCCTTTATATGTAGTGCCTGACACAGACTAGAGATGAGTGAGGGCTTAAAACTTTCATAAAAAAATGCAAAAAACAACAAAAAAGTAAGTGTATGCCTTACTGAACACAATATAATAAATTTATAATAAAATGGCATTTGAACAAAATATTCAAAAATAAATTGATACTAAATAACAGAAAGGCCAGTGGACACTGGGTAAGGCATTTGCAGAAAGATGCTCCAGCTCGGGAAGAGACTGTTCACTGAGGCTAGTGAAAAGGCTTTGCACAAACCAAATCAATTCTGTTGGAATAGGCAGGAAAAAAAAAGAGTTGTTATAGACAGTTTCTACAAAAAAGGGGCTGTTATCCAACATATATGAACAATTGACAGAAACATGAAAGATTAAGAGCCATTTATTAACAGAAAAATTTGAAAGTGCATGAATTTGAATTTCTCAGTGAGATCTAAACCAACAACCATGTGAAAACAGTTTCAAGTAGCTAATAACAAGAAAAAGGCAGGTTAAAATAACTCCAAACTTCTACTTTACCCACATACTTCACAAGACAGCGGTCCAACTCACTGCCTGTAGGCCACATGTGCCCCCCAAACTCCAGACCGTGGTCTGAATGAGATTAAAATGTAATTGGGAAAAGTTCAGCACTCTGGAATTTGTTTCTATTGAAATTAGACACCACTGCTTTACATAAGTTTCTTTTTTAAAACCTAATTTTTAATTTATGGAATAAAACAAACATTTCAATAGCATAGTACAATAAAAAAGATGAAACTGCAAATCTACTGTGCATAACTCGCTGTTCCTTTCAAGTATACAATAAAATCATCACGTAAATTTCCTTTTTAAAAATCTCTCCCATCCTCCACTGTAGAGATGGCTACCATTAGACATAAATAGGTATGTATGTATGTGTATATGCACATATATGTAAAATTATTCTTTACATACTTTTATTTATCAGTTCTTTCTCTGCATGCAGATAGTATTTTTTCAATATGTCCTTTATAGTTAATTTGGGTATTTATAATAGTAACAATAACTTATTCATTCAGAGTCACTCTAAAAACAATCTTGCTGCTGCTGTATACAATGTTCTCTTATTTCTGCTCATTTCTGTCTTCATTATTTTGTGCAAGTCTATGTTTTTTTTTCTAAAGTAATTAAGCTTATCATTGCTTACAGCACAGTAGTATTCCATTACAATCATATACCACAATTTATTCAACCATTCCCCAAGTGATGGGCTTCCCTGCAATTTCCAGTTCCTTGTCACCACAAAGAGAGCTGCTCTAAATATTTTAGGACATATAGGTTCGTTTCCATTTTCCCTAATTATCTTTGGAATTAGACCAAGCAGTGGTATGGATGAGTCAAAGGGTGTAGTAGTTCAACGTCTTTAGGCATGATTTCTGATTGCTCTCCAAAATGGTTGGATCAGTCCACAACTCCACCAATGTGTTCCAATTTTTCCACATCCTTCCAATATTTGGCACTTTCCCCTACTATCATTTTAGACAATCTGGTAGATGTAAAAGGATATATCAAGGTTGCTTTAATTTTCATTTTTCTAATCAATAATGATTAAGAACTTTTTTTTGCAAGTGTATAAATTGTCTTGATTTCTTCATCAGAAAATTGCCTGTTCATATCCTTTGCCCATTTATCAGTTGAGGCTTGACATATTCTTTTAGATTTGACAAAGTTCTTTACATATTTTAGATATGAGACCTTTATCTGATAAACTGTTTATAAAAATTTTCCCCAAATTTTCTGCTTCCCTTCTGATATTAGCTACATTTATTTTATTTGTAGAAAACCTTTTTAATTTAAAGTAATCAAAATGATCCGTTTCATACCAAACTTTGCTCTCTATCTGTTGTTTAATGAAAAAATTGTTCACTTATTTATAAGTTGGATAAATAATACGTTCTTTTTTCTTCAAGTTTTTTTTTTTTGTAAAATCTCTTTATATCTAGGTCGTGTATCCATTTTGACTTTATCTTGCTAAATGGTGTAAGATATTGGTCTATGCCCAGTTTCTGCATACTGATTTCCAATTTTCCCATCAATTTTTACCAAACAATGAATTCTTATCCCCAAATATTAATTCTTTACATTTGTAAAATACAAGATTGTTATGTTTATTTACTGCTGTAAATTGTATGTCTACTCTATTCCATTGATTTACCTTTGCATTTCTTAGCCAGTACCACTTAGTTTTGATAATTACTGCCTTATAATACAGTTTAAGGTCTGGTGTTGCTAAAAGTCCTTCTTTTATACTTTTTTTCATGATTTCCTTCGATATTCTTTACTTTTTGTTTTTTTTTTCCTGAGTTTTGTTATTTTTTTTCTAATTAACATTCAAAGTTATAGTTACTATTTGTGAATTTCCCTCCATCTTATTTTTACTCATTAGTTTCCTTCTCAGCCTCTCTTTTTACCCTATCCCTATTACTTTCTCTTCTCCCTCTCATTGCTTATTTTCCTCACCCCTCTAAAAGTCCCTCCCTTATTTATTCATTCCATAGTCCTAATCTTAATGTATACATCCTTCTAAAAGTCCTCCCCCAGCCTGTCCTCCAGTTTTCTCATTTCTCTATAAATTCAGAAGACTTCTGAACCTCTACATATGTACATGCTGTTTCCTCTTCAACCTAAATGAGAGTTAGGTTCCAATATTACCAGCTCTCCACTCCGCTTGCTTTCTCTATGTTGGTTCTTCTTTTCATTCCCTGTTTTTATGAAATAATTTCTCTTTTTACCCTTTTCCTACCTGACTTTGTTTTTCAGAATCACCTCATTATACACAATTCAGCTCCAGCCTTTCTTCCAAACTACCTTAGTAATGATAAGTTTAAGTTTTAAGAATACTATTACTAATAACTAGTGATAATAACATTTTTGTATATCATAAGTAAATATTTTGACCTTAATCATTGACTTATAATAGTCATTAATGATTTCCTTATATTGTTTCTGGATCTCTTACATCAAATTTTCCATTCAGTTCTGGTCTTTTTGTTACAAATACCTGAAAGTTTCAGTCCATCAAATGTTCTCTCTCTCTCTCTCTCTCTCTCTCTCTCTCTCTCTCTCTCTCTCTCTCTTTTTAGGATTACACTCAATTTTGCTCGGTAAGTTATTCTTGGATGCAACCCTAGGTCCTTTGATCTTAAAAATATAGTGTTCCAAGACCTGTGGTCTTTTAGTGTAGAAGCTGCTAGTCTTAGATTGCTTTTATTTTTTCTAATTTTCCTTCATACTCTCTTATTTGATTTTTGAATTCTTTTTAAAGTTCTTCCAAGATTTCTTTTTGGACTTGTGACCATTTGATCTTACTATTTAGGATTGGAGTGGCTTTTCTACTTTTTATTTTTTTGGCTAGGCAATGGGGTTAAGTGACTTGCCCAAGGTCACACAGCTAGTAAGTGTTATGTATCTGAGGTCGGATTTGAACTCAGGTCCTCCTGAATCCAGGAGTGGTGCTCTATCCACTGTGCCACCTAGCCACCCCTGGCTTTTTAAATTTTTACCTATTTTCCTCTGAATATTAACTCAGATATTCTTTTACATCAAAGTAGCTATCAGCAATTGGGTTCTTTTTCCATTGCTTACACATTTTTATTTTTAGTTAGTCTTAATTTTTAGCAGCTTAATATTATCACAATCAAGTTTCAGCCCAAGTTGTGGGTAATGTTGCCCTTGGCCTCAGGTCCTCCTCCGACTGTTTTCTAAATTCTGTCTAGGGGCTCAACCTCAGGGACTGCTGTCCTTCTCACCCACAGCCACAGTCTGGGATCCTGTGTGGTCAGCACCTCTAGTTCTGGAAACAACAGGGGGTCCTTCAAACTTCCCTCTCTCAGCGTCTACTCTTTAGATGAAAGTTAGTGAGGTGAAATTTGTTGAGGTCTAGTCTGCTTCCCTCAGGGTTTACTGTTTGCTGATTCAGTGGCATCAGCCTGGAGGCATCTACACTTCACTCAGGCCCAAACTTCAGCCCCTGGAGTCTTTTTTGATGCTCTCTTAACTTGTCTTAGGAGGACAACTGCTTCACCCCCTTATTTCTGCTGCTCTGCATTAATTTTGTGGTGATTTTCAGTCTGTTTGTGGAGGAAATCTGGGGAGCCTAGACATTTCTGAGTCAAACCATCTTTACAGAATCTTTACAACATTTTCTAAAAGACTATGCTTACCAAGGCCAGCCACTGAGAGTCATAGATTTTGCCAGGCATATGGGATTTATGAGACTTATAGTTCCTATATGGGACCACTTATATTCCTTCTTGCTAGGCTTTTTCCTGTATATTCATTCTCCTCTGTAGATACTGTTCACATTGGTAAAAAGTGTGACCAAGGGTTTATGAGTCTCTTATCATGTTTTCCTGTGGATGCCATACATTCTGCCCTTGTAATTCCCATTCCAGTTTTAAATCTCTGAGGAACAGTGTGTTATGGTTATATGGTCTTCTCACATTCTCCATGGTCCTCTGTCTCATCAAATATTGGCTTCTTTCACCTT